CGCCAGCCGATGGCCCAAGCACTTCCAAGCATGGCGCTGGAGCAAGGCCTCGCGGGGCACACGGCGCTGCTCTCTCCTCACTCCTCAGGGACAGGTTTATCCCTGTGAAAACAGCAACGCTGGCTTTGATCTCCACTGCTGTGAAAGCATGACAGGCTGCGAAGTGCTGCCGGCAAATCCCCCAGCCTGAAGGTCCTTGCGATGTGCCAGGATGTGCTGGGACATGCAGGGATGTGCCAGGAGGCACTGGGATGTGCCTGGGATGTGCTGGTATGCACAGGGATGTGCCGGGATGCATTGGGATATGCCCAGGATGTGCTGGGATGCACTGGGATGTGCCGGGATGCACTGGAATGTGACCAGGATGTGCTGGGATGCGACCAGGATATGCTGGGACGTGCAGGGATGTGCTAGGATGTACTGGGACGTGACCAGGATGTGCTGGGACACACAGGGATGTGCTGGGATGTGCCCAGGATGCCCGGGATGCGCCGGGCCCGGAAGCTGTGGCAGGGCCGGCCCCACTGCGGGGCTGATGTCACTGCTAACTATAGCGGCTGCTCCCCCGCAAAAGCCTCTACCTGGAGAGGGTAAAAATAGCTGCCAAGAGGGGAGCTGCACGGAGCCACCCGCTCCTCCGGCGGTGCCTGGTCCGGCTCCTCCCGGAGCCACCGGCAGGGATGGATCCACGGGCGCCTGGGGCGCTCAGCTCCCTGCTGGGAAGGGGAAGGGGAGTGGGACGCTCTGTAGCCCGCGACTGTGGCCAGTTCCGGAGGAGGATGCCCGGAGAGGCTCCTGCGGCACCGACCTTGCCTACAGCTCTATGAAATTTCATCCCAAGCTTGGGGCTGGCGCCTGTCCCCAAGGTCACCCAGCCGCAACGCTGGGCTCGGTGGCACCACCACCACCAGCCTCCCTCTTGCACAAGGGGGCCTGGATTGGGAATGCAGGGCTTGGCGAGCCCAGGATGGAGCCTTGTGTGCTCGTGCTCAGGAAGAGCAGAGGTTTTGCACCAGGATCACAGTGGATTTGTCCCTGGCCATGTTGCTTTGCCAGCTCTGGGAATGCCGGGGCATGGCGGGACCCTGCAGGTCAGGATCCCCCCACCGGCTCTGCAGTTGTGCCGGCTGCTTTTATGGAGTGCCGAGGGCAGGAAGGGCCAAACCCCGAGCAGGGCTGCCCCGGCGAGGGAAAAAAACGGCGGCGCCAGCCCCACTCCCCGGCATTGCTCCCAGCTGCCGCTCCGAGAACCCCCAGCGCAACAGGCTCTGCAGCGCCGGGAGGGCAGGAAGCACCTCCAGGATTTGCTCCGTGGGATTTGCCACCTAAATCTCGGCATCAAGCGAAGTGTGCAAAGAGAGGCAGAACCGGAGTGGCGCACGCCGGGACACGGTGCTGGCAGCGCCTTGGGCTGCATGTCCTGGCTCCGGCCGCCCGGCAGGGAGCCCGGAGAGCAGATGGATGCAGAAGAGCCCGGCCCTGCGGGAGGAGCGGCCGGGGCAGCCGGGCTCCACGCGGACGGACGCTCCCCGCGGCACCGCCCCCGCCTCCACCTGTCCCCGGCCGCAGAACCGCCCCTCGCTCCTCCTCTCACCCTGCTCCTGAAATACCCTGCGCCGGCCCTGCGGCCGGAGCAGCCCGTGCTCGGCTGCCCTGCGGCCACACGATGCCCCTGCAGATCTTCTGCACCGTCTCCTTCTCCCGCGAGGACGGGCCAGGCGCCGCAGCGGATGGCGACGGCGGCGAGGACGGGGCCAACGACTTCCTCTACGGGCAGGAGGAG